TGAGTGGCAACTGCTCCACAGTTGACCCTGTAGGGGGGTTTTGGAGGGAATAAATGACATAGGATTAGTTTGCCAAGCTTTATCCCAGAGAAAAGAGATACCCCATTTTTTTTCCACAGAGCTGCTGGTGAATTCCAACCTCATATTTTTGCATTGGTAGCACAATTCCTTATCACTAACCTCCAATCTCTTCATTACAATTTGTTCGTTTTAATAATCAAGAAAACCCAAAAGAATAAACATATATATAGAGATGATAGAGATAGAGATGGAGATAGAGATAGAGATACATATATACTACTAGAAACACTCTTGTAGTTTAAGAAGATTGGTTTTAAAGGAGGGAAAAAAAACCACATTCATATGTATTAAATGCAAAGCAAGCTAATGGTTTCAAAAAACTCAAGTTGTCAGAATAGAGCAAGGACACACTTAATGGTCCAAAATTGGGAAGGGCGTATGTCAGGAATGTGTCCTGTCTCCATACCTTTTCAACCTGTATGCAGAACCGATTATCTGAGACTCTGTGCTCTATGAGGTGAAATGCAGCATCAGGATTGGTGGAAGATCTATCAACAATCTGCATTTTGCACATGACACAACCCTGATTGCTGAAACTGAGGAGGACCGGAAGTGCTTGCTGCAGAGGGTCAAGAACTGTAGCCTTCAATATGGATTGAAGCTCAATGTCAAGAAGACAAAGATTCTCACCACTAGACCAACTGGCAGCATCAGATGGATGGTGAAGAGATTGAGATTGTTCAGAGCTTTAGTTTGCTTGGCTCCGCAGTCAACACTCTTGGCACCAGTAGCCAGGAAATTAAAAGGCACATTGCCATGGGAAAGTCTGCTGATAGGGACCTCTCCAAAGATATGAAGAGCAATGGTGTCTCTCTGAATAGTAAGGTGCATCTGATACAGGCCATGGTCTTTGCAATCATTTGTTATGAATCAGAGAGCTGGACAATGACTAGGGAGGATAGAAGGAGAATTGAGGCCTTTGAGCTGTGGTGCTGGAGAAGAGTATTGAATGTACCATGGAAATGTGCCAAGGAAACAGATTCATCCCGGGTTTAACTCTTGGAGGCAAGGATTCTGAGGCTTTGCATGACATACTTTGGACATGTTGTAAGGAGAGACAGGTCCTTGGAGAGGGACATCATGCTTGGGAGGGTGGAGGGATGGCTCAGGAGTGGAAGGCCCTCTATGAGGTGGATTGATTCAGTGACTGGGATAATCGGGATGGGAGTGTCAGAGACAGTGCGTTTGGCAAAGGACAGGGCAGAGTTTAGGGCTGTTGTATGTAGGGTCACTATGAGTTGCAAGCAACTCGACCGGCACCTAACAACAACAACAAACTTTGCATTTCTACTTAACTATAAGAGGTAGCATTATCATCTTTTGTACCCAAATGAAGTTCTCAGAGAGTCCAGATCATTCCTTTTCAGAACAAAAACAAAAGTTAACGAAGCTGGTCACTTGGTTGTCCAGACCTGCTTAGAAACCACAAGTCTAAGCAAGCATTTCTCAAAGTTTAGACTTTGAACGATGTGAATTTCAAAGATTTCAAAGGGTGTTTCTTAATATTACCGATTCTTCAGTTCTACCTAAACCAAACTCAAATGGTATCCTTTAAGAGGAGTATGGGATTGGGAACTTGAATAATTATCTGTTTAAAAGCTGATTGTTAACCAACCTGACAAATGCCACTAAATCTACTCTTAAGAGAAATCCAGATCTTAGAGGCTCCATTATTTTAGACTATTCACCTCTAAATTAATCTCTTTGAAAGAACTGTTACAGAACTTGTGTGTATATCAATTGTGTACCTGCTCTTTTTTTTTTTGAAAAGTTATATGAGTTATCAAGAACAAGAGACAAAGGGTATTGGCAAAAATATTGACCTAAATTTAATGTTCTTTTAATGAAGTTCTTCTATTTAGGAATTAAGAGTCTTTGGGACAAGAAAAAAGAAGCAGCTGATGAAGTTCTAATTCACTGGTATGGAGTCAAATGTGCTTCTGGCAAAGTAATTTTTAAGAATAAATATGTGCACTCTGTAACAAAGAAGGTGCCATTAAGGGATAATAATCTTTCATGTCTACTGCCTAACAATATAATGTCAAAATATGTGATGCAAAAATGCATAAGAGATGTGGAATGGATCTGATTATGGTTTTCTGCAGACAGATGTCTAGTTTTGCCAGCACTATTTGTTAAAAAGGTTGTCATTTCCCCATTTAATGGGCTTCATTTCCTTGTGAAATATTGACTGTAGGTAGATAACTTGATTTTTGGATTCTCAATTCTATACCATGGTCTATGTGTCTGCCATTGTACTAACAGAATATTGTTCTAATAAGAATGGGGGTGCAGTAGGTTTTGAGATCAGGGACTGTGATGCCTCCCATTTTTATTTTTTATAAAACCCACCACACCACTTTATTTGGGTCTATTTCTTGTCTAAATGAAACTGGAAATTGTCTTTTCTATCTCCGTGAAGAGAGAAATCAGTTTGGTATGAAGTAGGCAGATAATTAGTAAGCATATAGTTGAATTGCACACCCACAATCAGTCACCTGGATCAAACAGATATTTAAAGGCTATTTTATCTGAAGCTCAGTAAAAATTGTTTCAGGCTCCTCTAGAACACTCACCAACCAAGACAGATAAAATTCTGTGTCACAATTATATAATCTTTAAAAATATAAAGACATAGAAACCATGAGAAGTAAGTTCTCAAAACACAATGGAATTAAATGGAACATGAATAACACAAGAGATAGCTAGAAAATTACAAAACCTTTATGGATTAAAACAGTATACTTACAAATAACACAAAGTTCAAATAAGAAGATTTAAAATTAATTTTAAAATATTTTTCATAAATCAAAATTAAAAGAAATTTTATGGAATAAAGCAAAAGCCACTCTTAGAAATTTATACTATTGAATATATGTACTACAAAACAATAAACCACTAAACTAAATGATGTAAGCTTTCACTTTACAAAACTAGAAAAAGAAGAGCAAGTTAAATTGAAAGCAGGAAGAATAGAAAAACAGGTAACATAGAGGAAAACGTTAACCAAATATGTAAAAAACTCCTAGATTAAAAATGCAGTAGTCTGCTGAGATGCATTAAAGAAAACCTAAATAAATGTACAAACGCACTACTTTAATGGATAATAAGACTCCTGTTAAAATATATTAATTTCCCAGAATTTATATACAGAGTCAATGAAATATCAACTAAATTTCAAGGATGTATGTTTTTGAGAAATTCTTGAGCAGATTTTGTATCTTTTTAGAAATATAAACACTCTATAAAAGCCACATATTATGGCATCAGAAAGTAAGAAAATGCCCAAAGATAAGAATTTGTAAAAAGGACACAAGGGCCAATATCAAATCACTCCCTAACAGTCAACAGAGAAATAAATTAAGTATTAAAATAGTGACAGTTATTGGGAAATAATCCATAAAATAAAATTTAAAATTGTTCATACAAATAGATGTTGAAAAGGGAATAAATAAGCGAAACAAAAATAGCTCATTCCTACATAATAATTACAGTTAATAAATGTAGCACAAAAAAAGAAAAATAGAATTAGGCCAACAGTTGAGCAATAAATATCTCAGAGAAGATTCACTAATGTAGATCTAAATTAATATAGTTTTTCAGAAAAACAAGATTTGTATTGTCACTAAACAGCATTTGCATGTCTCCAAAAATACTACTTATTAAGCACACAATGAAGAAAAGATAAAAGAACACATATCAATTTAACCAACATTTCAAGCTTAACATCACAAAGAAGACATATGAGCATGAATCCCTTTATATAATGCAGAGAAGGTCCTTGCACTTTTGTGGTATTATTATCCAAAATGCATAATAACCTCAGAGCTATCATAATGAAACATCAAACCAACCCAAATACAGGAGGATATTACTGAACAACTGATCAAAACTTCTTAAATACGTCAAGATCATGACAGAAAGAGAAAAATCACGTGTAACCAATAATATGAAGACACTACAAAGAGAAGGTAAATAAATTCAATGTGTTACCCTCAAATGAATGCTGGAGCAGAGAAAGAGCATTAGAAAAACTGAAGAAATTTAAATAAGATCAATAATATAGTTAACAATATCATACCAATGTTTGTTTGTTGGTTTTGATAATTTTACTGGTTATACAACATGTTAAATTAGAAGCAACGAGGAGATGTATCAAGTGCTTTGATGTATAACTACTTTACATCACCAACAACAAATTATTCCAACAAATACACCAACAACATCATTATTCAATACTTCACATTCATGAAAACAGAAAGAAACCTCTCAGACTTCTGTGTGTATAAATAACATATACTTGGCAGTAATAATTGCTTAGGTGCAAGGTGAAAGTAACAGAGACTAACAGTTAAGGTCAAGGGGCTGGGTCATGAATTGTACTGGCTTCACAGTTTTGTAATAATGTAATTTTGCAGTTATGTAATAATATAATCTGGTAAGCATATAATGATATGGTTCTTTCTAATTTTATGATCTTATATGACCATCCTCCATTTTTCACAGAACACTAATTTCTAAATATGTAAGTACAGAATAAATGAAACTGTACAACTTTTCTCTAAATCTAATGTTTATTGCTGTTCACCTCTGAGTTGGAACCATTAGTGCAAAAGAAATAGTTAAAATAAAATTTAAGAAAAACTACAGTGATTAAAAAAGATGAATAATTGACTATGTAGGAACACAAAGGAGCTTTCTGGATGATTAAAATATTCTTTATAATTATGCTTATGATAACATACTATTCTTAATTGTCAAAATTAATTAAATTTAGTGAATTTTATGATATGTAAATTATATTTAAAATAACTTTACTAAAAAGGATTACAGATATAAATACAAGCTTAAGAAAATTACTGGGTTGAAATCTATCTATGCAGAATGCAGATACAAAATGAGACTACAAATACTCTTACCAAATTGATTAACTGAGTGTGTACCACATCTTCTACCAAAATTGCCGTTTCAAGAAGAGGTCTTCTAGCATCTCCTAAAGAAAACCTGCAAAAAAATTAAAACCACTAATATTAAAGACTATGACAATAAGAAAGGCAAAAATTGAAAGATTTATAATAAACATAACCTGTTCGAGATAAAAATTATTCTTACAAATAACAGAGCTTATGTAGAATTTTCACTAAAAAAAATGCATTGATTCTACATAAACAAAAAATTCCAGAGAATAATGTGTTTTTATGCTATTTAAAATTTTTATAAAATATTTCATAGGCTATTAACTGTTTTCAAAATCCAAGATATAACTATCATTCTACAATATTGGCAACTATAAAAGCACGCCACGAGATGACACTACCAGGACAAGAACATAGGCATAGTCATAAAGTTATAAATGTATGTGTCAGTGCCATTTAAATAATAACTCCCAATTGCATACAAGTTGATTACCAAGAAAGCATAGCAAAATTATCTTAAAAATCCTTTTCTCAGTTTTCATTTCTACTAATTCAGTAGAGAATAGTTTCTTAGCAAAGAACAACTAAAATATATGATAATCCACTAAAAACTTGGTTTTAACCATGCCTTCATTGGCAAGAAAGAATAAAAATCAGCTAAGAGAAGAAAAGGCCGCTTCTAAGAGTATGAAAGGAGAGAAGAAAAACTTATTCTGATGAAGTCTGCTTTATCATTCTAGAATCTTATTCTGAACTAGCACAATATTCAAGGTTAGAGGAAAAAAATGCTGAAAATACAAGGAATGAAGCCAGTCTGAAGAACCATGATGACAATGGAAACCTGTATTCAGTTGTGTAGACACTCTGTGACTGATTTAAGGAATATCCAAACCCAGAGAAGAAACATTGCTTATCTCAGAAAAGACTCTGAGTGTAAATGGGATTAAAAAAAAATTCTGATAACTGTTAACTAAAAATTCACATTCATGACTGAGGATTTGCTTCTCATATACCCTCCCCCCC